TTTTGTTTTTGTTGTTATTATTTTGCAAAGAGAGAAGAATCATTTTTAATTAAATTTAAACATAAGCACGGCCTGATGACATATATTAACTGTTTGAAATCAATTGTTTTTGTTTTTCTTTTATAAAAATGTATCTAACGAATGTCAAAAACTAGTTCTGCTTCGCATTTCTGTCTGTGGGATCGTGATGCGATGTTGTTTGGTTTTGTTCAAGTATCTTTTTTCTTTGTTTCAGCAGATATTTTGGTTTTTTTCTTTCAATTGATTTACTCAAACTTAATTCGTTAATTTGTACTTTAACTTTTGTACTCAAATGTATGCGAATTTTCAATTATTTCTTTTTTTATTACATTTCATTTTTATATATATATATATATATATATATGTGTTTATTTTTATACTTAAGTATTAGTTTGCATTTAATGAATATATTCGAATACATAAAAATTTAACTAAATATTTAAAAAGATTTTCCTTTCAATTATATGAATAATAATTTCGTGGTATACACATATATAAATTAGTTTAAATAATAATAATAATAATAATATTAATAATAATAAAAAGAATAAAAAACTTTGTTCGACTTAACTAAAATTTCGTATTTGTATATATATATATATATATATATATATATATATAGATTTTTTTATAATTTTGTTTATACAAAATTGCATTTTGTTATACATAATGTAATGGAAAATCTTTTATTTGTTTTGTGTTTTTTTTTCTTTTTAAGGTGTTTTTATTTTAGACTTTCAAGAAATTTCACAATCGATGTAAAATTCCCTTGTAGTTAAGAGGTAATTATCTTAAAAGAAATATTAAAAAAGAAACTTAATTATAAATATAAATAGTTTTAAAAAGCATTTAAAAATAAACACAAGTGTATACCTATATATCTTTATATGCGTATATCTATAGATCTAAAAATCTATCTGTATATATTCAAAAAACAAAAAAAACAAAAAAATATATAGTGGTACTCTCTATACTCGACTTGCTCGCTTTAGTGGCTGTAAGCAGCGCTGCTTGCAATTCGTATGATTGCGGAGATCTCTTAAAGGACTTTTAAAAAGACAATAATGAAAAAAAAAAAAAAAAAAAAAATTTAAGAAATAAGAAAGTTTTGTTCGGAACTTTTTTTGTATTCGTCACCTCAAATCTCAAACCATTAAAGTAGGATTGCAAAATAGTTTACCAAATGTGGGCAATGGCAAATGGGCCTATGCGTTTTTACCCGACCTTAGAAATTTCTGTGTTAGTCTTTTTCTTTACGCCGAATTACATTTGTTTGTTTTTAGTAAAGAAAACCGCGTAAGAATTTAGTCACGTTCTACGATAAATTGCTACCTTACCCTCTCAAAGTATACATATCGAGCTCCAGAACAAGGTCTGTTGTAGCTTTCACCCTATTGTCTTAATGAATATCAGGTTGTTAGGCAAGTTAATCTTAAGTTTAAGCCCGTTCAATATTTCTTGCTGCAGAAAGATTTTAGAAAGGGAATTAAGGATAGTAGTCCCACGCTGGTCACTTTTGTTAATAAAAGTCTTGGCCTAAAAAGAAATTTTTGCATGGCTTTATTTTAAAGATATGAGTACCAACTTAAAATCTGCTGATACAAAATGTTAACTCTTACAAAAAAAAATCTGCTTTACTGTTAAGGATAGTAGTTTTGATATGGAAGCATTTTTACAAAAAAAACGAATAGTGTTACAACGTTTGTAACTCACAATGATTTCTTTTTTATATGTGAAAAAATTTTCTAAGTTTGATCTGCACCCGAAGGAATTTTAAAGTATTTTCACCTCCTGCTATACTATTTTAGGAAAATTTGTGAATCATAATCGATTATATAAAATGTAAAAAGCTGTCGGTATTAACCCTGAAAAAAAAAAAAAAAAGTTAAAAATAATTATAAAGAACTCACAAGAATTAGGTAAATTATAACATTTTGATTTAAAGCCTTTGGCTAAGAAAATTAATTACTTCTAATTGTTTAAGTTTCTGCTTCAACGTCATTTCAAGTTTAATTATTTTGAATTTTATGGCATTTCACATAAAACTAATTGTTTAGTAAAAAGATTTTCGCTTTTGTTTTTTTTGCTTTAATGACTATACATAATACAATTTTTTGTTGGCTTTTAACGGATTTTACTAATAACTAAAAAATTTTCACTAAAATTTATATAATAATATTTTCATCTTCTTTTTCTTTTTAGTATTTATACCTGAGCATGCACAGAACGTATTTGAAAACAAAAATTATCTTAAAATCAATCAATTAATTTAAAAAACAAAATTTCATTTATTAAACAAAAAGATGTTCAAAAAATTATAAAAAAAAAGATCCGGTTTAAAATCAATTTATTTTATATAGAAATATATATAAAAATAAAATATATACACACATATATATATATTTATATTATATATATATGTATATATAAATATGTATATATAATATGTGTATATATATATAATTTATATATATGTACATATATATAATTGAGAACGTGTGCGTGTATGAATCGGTTACATTTAGTATTGTATAAATTCAAAATTGTTTTGCATTCGCTCTCGTAGAGTAAATATGAATGCGAGAATTTTCACTTTTTTGTTTTTGGCGCATTAAATGCTTGTTGCTTTCTCTCGTGGAAGGACTTAAATTACAAATATATATGTATATATAAACATACCAACACACAATTGTATATGCGTGACTGTATGCATTTATATGTATATATATATATAATTAAATATTAAACTTTTTTTTTCTTTTTCTCATCGCGCGATTGCAAACTGATTAGATTTTTATATTATGATGTATAAATCTATGTATGTATGTATGTATGTATGTATGTATGTATGTATGTATGTATGTATATGTGTATATATATGAGTGTACTCATGTGTGTATAGAAGTAAAATAATTAGTTTATGCGTATTTGTTGATGTTGTTGTCATTAAATTGTTATGAAGCTAATTACCATCAAGCCAAGATGTTTGTTTTTTTTTTCTCTTATTAAGACTAAGTTTTCTTAATTACACTGATTTATTTAAGTTTTTGTTATTAATAACTATCATTAAGCATTTGAATGATTTTTTATGTATAAAACTTATAATCATTCTCTCTCTCTCTCTCTCTCTCTCTATATATATATATATATATATATATAGATATATATATATATACACCTCATTCTGTTTGCATACGGTTTCGATTTAACACACGATCCAGTTTACCTTTAAACGGATTTTAATCTGATTTAACACAATTAGAAGATTTGTTTACTTAAGCAAAATTATTTTTATTAACTGCTAGTTTTCTAGTTTCTTTTTTTATTTTTTATTTTTTTTATTTTTTTTTTTTTTTTTGTATACATAAGGCAGTATATACGATTACGATACTTTTGTCTTTAGCAAGAAACTTGGAATTTTTTTTTTCCTTCTTCTTACCTAACACGTGTTTACACATTTCATTTTATTTTAAATGACTTTTTTATGGCATCTACCGCGCAGAAACAGAATTCGGTGTATATCTGCTTTACTTTGCCTTTCATAGTATCCAGGAACAATTTACCTTATATATTTTTTTCTTGAAAATTCTTTTGCGCTCCAACTACGTTTTAACGGTTGGTTGAATATTTCAAGTATATTGCTCGAGACTGTGTTAACATTTTATCTAAAACTTGGTTAATTTTCTTTTATTAATTTTTTGCTTGCTTCTGCTATTTTCTTACAATTATTATTATTTTTTAAGATATTTCTTGTGACTTTTTAAACACTAATGAACACATTAATTAGTTTTCACAAAAAAAATCGGAAATAATGTTAAACTTAAATACTATAATTATTTATTTGTTTTTTTATACTTACATTTCAAAATATTTATCTTTATGGTTAGTTTTTGTTTTTGTTCTTTTTCTTTTCGTTTTTGTAATCTTTTCAACTAAATATATTGTTTTTCCTATTTGTTGTTGTTGTTGTTTTTGTTGTTGTTTGTCTTTGTTGCTATTATTTTTGTTTGTTTGCTTTTTTTGTTTCTTTGAGTTTTCGGTGTTATTTAGTCACTTTGGTTATCAGTCTTACTAAAATAAAAAATTATATTTATAATATTAAAGAAAATGAAATCATTTAAATATTTTGTGACAGTGTCAAAAAAGAACTTTCAGCGCATCAGTCTATCGATCAACTAATCATCTCATGAAAAAAGCACAATTTTTTTTTTTTTTAAAACATATAATTAAAACAGTAAACTCAAAAAAAATGAAAGAAAAAACCTACTTTCAGTAAAAAGTAAATAAAAGAAAAGAGAAAAATCTTAAATGCTTAAAGCAAAAAAAAAAAAAATAGAGTTATTTATGAGGAATAAAAAAAAAAAATGGTGTAGCCCTGCTCTTATAAATCGGAGCTATTGAGAAAGAAGCGTGTATTAATTACACGCCTAATTATGTTATGCTATCGGTTATATACTTTTTCATTTTCTCTTCTCTCTTCTCTTTTTTATCATATATTATCTGTTTTAATGTTACTATTAGCTATTAGCTGTTAAATGTTAAAGGTATTTAATAATGTATTTTTTTTAAACTCTAGTGACTCAATTCTCTGAACTTTGTCTTTGTTTTGTTTCATTTTTTCCTTTAGAAAGTCTATTGGTTTTTAAAATTGTTTGTTTAATTTCTTTTAAGGAGTTTTTAACTTGGTTTTTTTGCTTTAACCATAAATCAGTCTAATAATACAATTTGTTTTTAATCTTGGATTATTTAGAAAAAAAAATTAAAAAAATTATAATAATAAGAGATGAGTTTTCGTTTTTTTTAAAGCAAAATTATGTGGCGGGGATGTTAAAGAAAATATTATGGTGGTATTCATAAATATATAGATATATAGATATATATATATATATATATATATATATATATATATATGTACGGATGCAGTAGTAAATTTTGTGGCGTTATGAAATGAACAATTTTTATTTAAATATATATATATATCTATATATATATATAGATGTGTATGCGTATTTGTATGTACATAATGATTACATAAATTTTATGAATTTTGGTCAAAAGGGACAACAACAAAGGCTAAACATGTTCGGGCATGTTTATTGAATGTTTAAAATGGAGTGTATGTATATTGATGCATGATGATATAAATCTGATCCCTAAACACTAACGAGGTAATCGTTGTACACCTTAACTAATTAAAAAGTAATAATTTCCTTTTTTTTTACTACAGCTAAAGAGTCATTGACATCAACTTTATCTAATAATAGTTTTTAGTGTTTTGTTGCTGTTATTTGTTGTAGTATTAATTACCCATTCGGTCCTCAAATTTTCTTACGCATATAAGGTGTGTGCGTGAGTTATTTTATTATTGCTGAAGAATTAAAAAATGTGTACAAAACGTTTATAGGGATTAGATCCCTCTTTGGAATCAGGAGAAAGCTCTATCAGGAAAACAATTCTGCCGTCGGGCATTAAAGCCACATCACAAGTACGATCTTTTTCATCTAAAGTGGGTGGCATAAAGGGATTCATATATGGACGTATATCGATCTGCAAATAAGGAAAAAGAAAACCGTAATAAATACATCATCAAATATACTTTTTTTACTTTTTTACTTTTTTTACTTCTTTATTCTTTTTTTTTGTAATATTTAATTCCTATTCTTAGTTGGTATTGAAAAGAGAAGAATTCTCGCTAAATTATTATTACTATGCTGCATTTTCATTGTTTATTTGAGATTATTCGTTATATAACTCACTTTTTATCTAAGTCAAAAATCGTTTTTATACCCTTCAAGTATATTAAATTTGTAAGCAGGTATGCATCCAGAGGGACCTAAGATAGACCCACCTTTTATTATATCGATCGATTCAAAAAGTGATTTTTTCACGATCGACTAGAATTACTTCTAAGCTTGTCTGTGTTTTTCTGTCTTGTTTTCTTGTGTACGGGTCACAATTTTTGAGATATTTTGATGAAATTTGGTAGGCCGACGTGTTTTCGTCCAAGGACGAAACGCTGTTGGCCATGGTTCCGGTCGATTCAATTTTTCGGACGCTTCCAATAAAACGCCATATTTTGAATAATCATGATATGAATAACATTATTGAACGAAGTAATGTAGGGTATTTACCGATGAGTCGCATTTTTTTATTGTATTTGCACTTGTTAAACACTTCGTCTTGTTTACTACATAGAAATTTATATCTGTCAACAGAACGCAAGCGAACTTTAGTGGTTCTTTTGAAAGCCTCAGAAAAACGCAAAGAAATTCTGATATTTTTAGTAAAAATTCATACAAAAACCTCAATTTGATAAGGTCCGATAAACGATGGAAAAATTAAAGTTTTAAATTTGTGAGAAGCAATGAAGATTTTTGTTTCCGATTCAGCTTTTGCTGTCTAAATAAATTCAGTTACTACTACTACTCGTCTGTGTGGAATTCATGTGAATATATGATAAAAATGATTGCAAGAAATTGCTTGTCGAAATTTACACTCATTACGTAAAGAATGTGCTTTGCTTAACCCGTAGATATATACGTCTATCGTTACTTGCAATTTTCCCATCATCTAAATTCCCATTTTATGGAATTGAAACTTACACCCCATAGATAATCCAAAGTGGGACTGTAGACCACGATACGTTGATTCTTAGAATCGGCTATTATAATCCGGCCTTCGTCATCGCAGCACAAACCTGAAGGACGATTAAATTCCTGTACTCCAGATCCTTCGTGACCTTTGGCCGACAAAATCTTTTGAAAAAGAATACGATAATTTAATGAGATGGGCAAAAAATCGATAAATATGTAAGAAATTTACTTCATTTTTATCCGGATCTATCAGGTACAAGCAATGATTGTCGAAATCCGAAACTATTATATTGCCAGTAGGTGTGTAGCATACACCACGTGGCGAGGCTATGCCTTTATTTTGTCCAACATTATCAAACACAATTTGTCGTATAAATCTACCATCTGAGTCAAATTGCTGTATGCGATGATTTCGTGAATCAGTTACCACTATCTGACGACGTGAATTTACTGCCACATCCCAGGGATACTGAAACTGGCCGTACTCTTTACCATAACTACCGAATTTTAATAAGAACACACCACTTGAGGTGAAAATTTGCACTCGGTGATTATCTTTGTCCACCACAATAATGCGATTGTCGATATCCACACAAATACCAGCGGGCAAATCGAACTCACCGTTTCCAACACCTTTACGGCCAAATTTAAATTTTAATGAACCATTAGGATTAAAAACTTGCACTCGGTTATTGCGCCTATCTGAAACAAGAATGTGACCAATCCGGTCCACACAAAGACCCCAAGGGCGGCTAACTTGTCCATCTTCGTGACCTTCGGTGGCAAAGGAAAGTGATAAAGCACGCGAGTTGCGAGCCTTAACCGGCTCAATTGCACCCGGTATTGCCGGAGTCGAACGGGGAGCACCGAAGTGCAAGCAAGGAGAATTAGGTATGACACTAAGCTCCCAATCATGTCCATGACTAGGCATTCCACAAGCACTACCGCCACGTGGTGGCACAACTGATGGTGATGGTATGCGATAGGAAATGTCGTGTACAAATGGACGCCTTATAGCTCCTTGGCCTACGGAATGGCTGCTGCCATTAGGAATGGCAGCAGCTGGGATAACTGGTTCAGAGCCCACACCTGATGTCGCTATATTGCCAACAGTATTATTAACGGCTGGCACGTTCTCATCGACCACTATAATGCCTCCTTGATTGCGAATATCGTGCAATAATGAATAGTCGGGAATAACAAACGCAAAGGTCTCCTCCTTTGGTTGTAAGTCTTTGTAAATGGCAGCAAATTGTTCTAATTGACGTTGTCCGTTAGTTACTTTCATGGCTACATCTACGAGATCTAAACGCGCGCCATTCTCGGCCACTTTGTTTAACATATCTGAGGTTTCGGCCAGTCCAGCGAGGGCGGACTTTAAGCCGGCCATTTGCTCATGCAATGTAGCTAAGCGCCGCTGGCGTAACTTTTCCACAAATTCTAGCAAAAACCGTTCGCGGTCTTCTACTGCTATAATGAATTGGCGAAAAGCTTTGCGTATATTATCGCTTAACTCAACACAGTTCTTCTCAATGTGCCGTATGAATAATAAAGCCTTATCAATTCCACTCTTAATACATGTGGTACCCATTCGGCCGCTTTCTAAGGCGGCTTCGATCTTCTCGCGCGAATCTTCTACGAAACTTTGTATCGAAGAGTAACAATGTTCCTTGTGTTCATGTAAGGTACAAAATTGGCAGACTACCTTTTTGCAAGATTCGCACACATAACGTAAAATTTCATTGTGTTGGTCACATAGATAACTAGGGGCTGGTGCCACGGGCATATTATTAGAAATGGCACTGGTCGGCGAGGTTCCGATAGGCCTAGGCAAAGAAACGATCGAATGATTTGAAGATAAGGAACTCTTACGATGTTCCCGTAAGCAATCGTTACACATGAATTCATTGCATTCCAGACAACGAATCGAGGCATTTACATCGCACCAACCGCAATTAATGGTGGAATTATTTGAAGCATCTGGCGATATCTTAGGACGCATACCAGCACCCATCCCAACACCAACACCACCACCACCACCACCACCACCACTACCACCACTAATGCTATTTACCGCTGCTCCACCTAATCCAGCCAAAGGTCCGATGCCAAATTCATTCGTTGCATGAAAATTATTGTAAAAGTACTCGTAATCCTGGCGGGAAGGTGAGCTGTAAAAATAATTTTAGTTTGCGCATTCAAAGAGAAAGAGGCTTACAAATGTCAAAACTTACTTATTTTTTATAGCACCGTTGCCACCATTGTTGCCTATCAGTGCGGCTCCTCCACCCATCCCAACACCCATATTCCACGAAGGAAAAGTATCCAAAATGCCGGCTAGCAAACGTTCGGTTGTTGCTGCGCTGCCATTAGTAGTAGCCAAATTTGAACCTGTATTATTACTGCTTGCTGACGCCATTTGCTTAGGTATGCAACTGTTGGACAATAGTTCCATCATAAAACTAACAAAACCTGAATCGATAAAGCTGCCGCACCAACGTAGGACAAACTAAGGCCGGTGTAAACGTATTCGCACTGAAAGAGTTCAATAAAACAAAACGTAATTATTTGCAGCAAACGTTTAACCATAAACAAATGTTCATTTTGAAAAACCTTAAAGCGTATTAAAAATGCCCAAGGATAACAAAGGATGCAGCAAATGAGACGAAACAAAAAGAAAAGGTAAATATAAAAAGAAAATTAGGTTGAACACGATGCAACAAGCAGATGTTGTCAAATGCAACTGAGATCAAAATGCTCAGAACACGTTCTTTTATGCCCCCGAAGAATATTATAATTTAACCTAAAACATGAAAATTTATTTCATCTGTCCCTCTTGTCACTCGCTGGTGTGAGTTTTACATTTTTACATTTTCACATTTTAACGTTGCTCGATAGTATATCTCTCGTCTTTTTCTGGGTTTGCAATGTTTGTAACTAAAGCGATACACTAGCAGCATAGCATAGATTCTAACGAATTTTCATTGTACGTGTAACTTAGGTAAACCAAACCGGAAGGACATTTTTAAATCTCTTTTTTTCTCCCTCTCTACTCACCAAATTTCAGATCTATGCGATGGTTCATCGCATGGTTCATTGTGTGCGTATTGTTCTCTCGATAATAACATTGAAAACTAAGCAGATGTACGTCAGTCATGATGCACTTCGTTGCTTTTTCTTTTTCTAAAACTTGCACAGGTTTCGCAGTCATACATACATCAGCATATATATGCATATATACCAAAAAAAAAAAAAATAACAATATATGTACTTACATAGAACCGATAAATAAATATATGTAAGCAAGGATTTGCCTCTACCTAAATGAATTCCTTTCAAAGAACTTGAACTGAAAGTGATTTCACTCTTAAACGGAAAATTTCTCAAATTGCATTTTACGCTAGATATAAACAGGATTTACAATTGTTGTTTTTTGTCTTGCAGTTGCTTGTCGTTAAGAACGTATGATGACATCTGGTTCCTTACCTTCTTCATACTTTTCTCTCTACCTATGGTAATTATTTCCCCTAAATTTTTGAGTTTTACTTAAGATTTTAGTACGTGCCTTATAAGTAATGATTAACAAGCAGCAATGATGCCGGCTTCAAAAACATTGCCAAGCGTTAAATATGGTTACATTTCAGAGACAACCACTCAACGTCTTATATTTTATGTTTGGTTTCCAGCCAAACTTAACTAAAAATAAATACAAAATGGATGAGTTAATTATGCAGCAAAAAAAACACGATCCACATATATAATAAAAAAAAAAAAAAAAAAAAGTAAATAGTCTTAAACTACCCTAAGCGTTCACTAGGTGAGGCTTAATAGCCAATCCCCTTTCAACTATGTGGGATAATAATTTATATGACTTCAATATTAGTTTGTTATAAAACGAAGGCAAACTCTAATGGAAAATTTCCTCTTTTTCCCTTATTTTCTCGTTCAGCCAAAGCGTTGAAAATTACTTTATTATTGAAATACATAAATAGCGCTTGCGATTGCATTGCAACCATTTGTTATAAATTATCCCTTCAACACCGAAATGTATGCAGTAATTTTTGTTATAAAACTAGAACTAGAAGTCATCAATAAATCAGTGACTCGCATTTGACGCGAACGTAAATAATGATTCGAGATATTGAAGATATTAAGTCGGCCGTGGCTTGGGTGTTCTTATATACATAACTCGCTCAATTTTAAGGATTTGTAAGGCAATGGTCGACAACTCTTTGGATGCCGGAATTAACTACTAAGCACATAATTTGTTTTTTTTTCGAAATATTCTATTAATAACTAAAAAAGGAAAACAAAAATATAACAGCATAGTTAGATTCCCGTGAATTTAGTTATTATAAACCTATTTAATGTTTGACTTTCGGTTCTGGGTATAAATTAAGAGTAGCAATAATGTGTGGGTGTATGAAGCGGAGATCTTAATATGCGGTGTCTCTTTAGTTTTCTTGCTTCACGAATCAGTTCACAGCTGAAATATTAGGGTGAAGGTTTAATCAGTTCAGGTAATTGCTACTAAAGCGTTTTATCTTGTCCTTAACTTCCAGGACATCAAGATCGGTAAGCAAAATGCAATTGCCCACCGACTAAGAAACACTTGTAATTAGTCTAGCACTTACTTGAAAGCTAAAAGTGTAAATTCAAAAGACAAATATGAAATGATAACAGAACTTAAGTTAGGTTACATGTCATTACATTATGCTTAAAAATATAAAACAAAAAGAACTGAAGGTTTTCTTTGATCTAAAATGTCGTTAAGTTTTAACGGACGTAAAGATTTATAAAAAAAAATTATAAAAACTTGACGATGGTAGATGTCTATCCGCATGTACATAAGCAACCACAATGGGCAATAAAATGTATTTATTGACCCGTAATGCCAAACTAATAACATTCTTTCTTATAACGTTTTAAATAAAAAATTTGGTAAATAATTTCTGTATACGTTACAGCAAAGCCAAAATAAAACGAAGGATTTAAAAGAAAAGCAAGCATATAAGCGCAAAAGATTGCCTTTGAGAGCCGAAGTGAAACAATTCGCTTTTCCAAGTAATAATAATAACAGCTGCAAAAGCCAAACAATGTTTTCGGGTTGATCCACTAGCAGCACCTTTCAGTGTTGATGTCAATTATAAGCGTACCTCACTTAACACGCTTTCGATACAATGCGGCATAAAATTTGCGACAATTATGACGACACTGGCGATTTAAGATGATTTTGAAAAATCAATTATGTACTTTTTTCAATTGATTTTTGCTTTTAAGTTAACTCATTTTTTCATTTATATTTTCTAATAAAATTTCCATGATAAAATTTTACACTAACGCCAATAAGGTTTTTATACAACTGGAACCACATTTTTTTAGTTTATGTTATATCAATTTATGTTACGCCGTTCCATACGATGCCTTAGTGTAAATAAAAAAATATGAAACGCTTCCGATACAGCGCAGTACGAACTAGCGATTTTAAACAGGACACGCCTGTAATCCATTTCAAAATATATGTCAATAAACAACGTAGCGTCATGGCTTAAAGATGTGTACACAAAACCTTAACGAATTAATAGCAGACACTGTGCACTGAGTGTTGTTTTCGTTTTTGGAATGGTACGAAAATTTCAAATGTCAAAAATGACTTCGATGTACGAGTATTTAAATGAAAAACTTATTATAAACTTTCTATTAAAAAACGTAGAACGCCGAGGGCCCGGCGGTTAATGCTGAAGCTTTTTCGCTCAACTCAGTAAATTAGCTGTTATTGATTTGCAGTAAGGCAGACAAATTCACTAAATAAGTATATTCAAGTGTTGCTAACAATTTGCGGTAGGGAACGCTGCTTAACTTGGCAATGACAGTCTTCTGTCGACTAGTGACCACATAGGTACGAGGTTCGTCGCAACTTGGCGAAAAGATGAGACCCCTCTGCCAAGTGCACGAACACCCGATTCCTCAAAATACTCTTCTTTAAAGCTATTAACAAAAGACTGGCAGCGTTTTGGTTATCTATAAGATGTTGTTATGCTCCAAAGAAGCCTCGTTACAACCGCTTTCTAATGCAAAAGATTTGATTTGTTCAAAGAAAATTTCAACAATATCTAATCAATAACCAAAAACTGACTAAACGCAGCGACCTTCAGTCTAATGTACCTAAGCATGCTGCTCAAGTCGAAGGAATGCTGATATGACACGATACAGGGTTTTTTGTTCCTTAGGATGATGCTGCTTTCGCGTTGTTAAATCGTGACCCTCTCAGTCGTCACAAACGGGGTAACATTATGGTCAGTCGGCACATCGACATTTCGGGCCATACCTATCGCTTATTCTTTCCTGGAATGATTTAATTGTTAATTTCGGGAACTGAAAATTTTACTTCGTACGTTCGTTTTCTATGGACGCAAAAGTATCTGGTAGTCCTTTGTTTTGCGAATGTGCATATGGAACTATCATGCATAAAGGAATAATTTGGCTCATTTCACCGAACATCTCTGTAATCTATGACGGAATGAGTCCACATTACGAAATTCTGAATGTGCTTGCACTTGAGTTTTTCTCTTTCTACTAACGCGACATTAACAAGAATGATTCGAGAACAATGCGAACATAGTTCTGACATAATTCTAACACAATTGACATAACATAGTCCCCTGCTGTAGTCTCTCTTTAATATTTGATGACATAAAAAAAACGTGAAAACACTTCCTCACTTTCTTTTATCCTATTATCACAAATGTCTGATAAATTGCATTTACTAAAAACTATTCCAGTTTCATTTTCAACCCCGACGAGTTCTTTGAGAGAGGACGGTATAATAAATAGCTAAGCAAACTAATCACAAACGAACAGCTTCAACAATAAAATTGGAGTTAAGTTAAGAGAGGCTCCCACAATTGCAATCGAAATCGGCCCACCGAGAGCATTCGTGCCTAACCCCGTTCAAAATGGTTTTCTATGGCAAAGCTTTTTCGCTTGGTTGTGACAACGAATCTCGTGAGGAGAACGCGGTAATCGAAGAGCCCCTTTCGTTCTTACATCTTTTCTTCCAAAATGATTGAAAAATTAGGAGGAAGGAGTTGTCACAGACTATAGTCTGCTTGCATATAAACGTACGTTTTTATACGTTTTTCTGTTATTGAAACAAAAAATTGACGTTCATATCTAACCTGAAATTAAGTGTTGCCGACCTATGGCTTTAAATGACGTTTGGTTTTCATTACTTATCAAACTCAGCTCAATGGAAAACATCATAAAATGTGTTCATGGGAGAAATTGAAAAATGTAATTTAGAACATAAACATGGAAGCATTCGTTGGTTTTGTATGCCCTAACAGAAGAAAACCAAATTACACCTGTGCTCGTAGCTCGCTTAAGCTAGATTTTTACGAGTGGTAAAGAATTTACGAATATAAATGAATTTAATTTCAATACGTTTAAAACAATGTTTTTACCTCAAGTTGTAGTCTGCAAGTGGCGGACGATTTTATCTTCTGTTTACTTTCTTTTCAATTAGATTTTTCTGA